TATATATAATTGTGTATGTACATATATATTTTATATATATTTTTAAATTCTTTTTTTTTTCTTTTCCCTTCTTTCTCTTCTCCTTTCCCCCATCCCAATTTCTCTTTCCTTGTGGACAGTTTCTTCCCATTTGGTCAACAGAATCTTACATCGGAGAGTGGGGACTGTTTAGAACTGTGTCAGCATCTATGGGGGGCTGTGTGCTGCTTTATTTTTTCCCTTGTGGCGGGGATGGAGGCCGGGGCCGCATGCACTGGGGCAAACCGCTGCTGACAGCTGCGCCCTGGTCCCTGGACTCTGTGTTGAATGCTGAGTATGGACCGTGGAACAGAGGAGACGAAGGGAAGCTGAAGAGGACCCGGATGTCTAGGCCACCTGGCCAGGCCTCTTCTCCAGCCGACTCAGACTTCTTTGCCTGCCATAGCCCTGCAGGAGTCTGAGGAGGCTCTTGTGCCTTGAGGGAATCCAGCAGGGCCAGCCTGTCTGTCATTTCAATCCCCTTCTCTCCGGGAAAGTTGCCACCCTGCAGGGTCCTCCTCGGCTTCTTCCCGGGGCAGGAAGAAGTGCTGGCCTGCGGAGCAGCTGCATGGCCTCGTTGGACAGCCCTGCCATCCCTGTCCTCATTGTACACAGGGGACAGATGCAGAGAGAGGTTCAAGGTTACACAGTAAATTAGCAGCTTCCATGACCTGGAGCCTGCTTCTCTCACTGGCAGTGAAGTTCTCCACGGGGACAGCAGGGCCTTGGGGACTTCCAGTCTGGGCGCAGCCTGTCCAAAGGCCATGGCTGGGCAGGACTTGGCCAGTCTGGCTGGCCAGGCCCAGGAAGAGGGGGGCAGGCGCCCCTGCATCCTGGGCTTGTTCTTGGGGAGACAGTGGGATCCCTGGGCCTAGGGGCGCTGACTCCCACCGCAGAGTTTGCCTCTCCCTCTCCAGGGAAAAGCTCCCAGTGGTTTCAGAGACACACGTGGAGGGCCCGTCCCTTCCCAAAGCAGAAGGCTGGGGCCCTGGAGGGGAGGGCCATGGCGTTTCCTGGCAGGCGGACGCCAGCAAGAGGCGGTGCAGACTCTGTCTGCCTTGATTTCCTTTTCCACCCCGCCTGGTCCTGGTGCAGGCGGGCTTGGGGTTCGGCCTGGGAGCCGGGAAGCTGCTGGGCCGGGCTGGTTGCTGGCATTGGGGTTGGACAATAATTTTTGTTGTTGTTGTTGTTTTTGTTTTTCGTTTTTCTTCCGGTACCGGGAATCAGACTCACGACCTTGCGCTTGCCAGGCAGGCGCTTTGCCGCTGAGCTAAATCCCCAGCCCCAACGGGTTGGACAATAATGACCATCATGATGAGAAGGCTACTTGCCGTTTACTTATTTATTTCAGGCCAACTTGTACGCGCAGCACTTTCCACTCATTATTATTTTATTTTCGCAAGGAGGTATAATTCATTCGCCCTGTTTTAGAGGGACAGGAACTCAGGTCCCGGGGCAGTGAGGTGATTTGCTCAAGATCCCCCAGCTGAGAAGTGGCTGGGTGGTATTGGAAGCTGTGCTGTTTTACTCTTTTTCTTTTGGTTGAAAAAAATAAAGGGGGAGGGTTGTCTTGCTATGTAGTTCAGGCTGGCCTTGAACTCAGGCAATCCTCCCGCCTTAGCCTCCCAGAGTGCTGGGATCACGGGTGTGCGCCTCCATCCCAGCCCCGGAAGCTGCGCTTTTGAGATGCTCCTCTCTCTTGCATGGCCCCCAGGCTCCCTGGGAAGGGACATTGCCTTGCCTCTCCCCTCCTCCTCCAGGAAGCTGTCTCCGATCTGGGGACCGCCCAGGCCCCTAGCGCAGAACTGTCCTGACGCTACTTTCCAACCTGCTTCCCGGGCGATGGTTTGTCAAGAACATAAATGAGCAGGTTGTGGTGGTGCTCCCTTGTATTCCCAGCACTTGGGAGGCTGAGGCAGGAGGATTCGAGTTTGTGGCCAGCCTGGGCTATCTAATGAGTTCAAGATCAGCTTGGTCTACATAGTGAGACCCCATCTCACCCCACATCCCAAAGCGTGTGAGAACTTTTTGGAGATGGGACAGGAAGAGGTGCTGCGGCAAGGAACTCTAAGCCTACCAGAAGATTCTTTCTTCTCCTCCTATAGGGCAGAGGCCGCAGGTAGCCCCTAGACCCTTGGGGCCTCCTGCTCCCCCTCTTCAGAGCCAGGTACACTTGGAGAAGACATGGAGGCCTGAACATAAAAGAGAATCAGCTGTGTGGAAGATAAGTGTCACCTGCTCCTTCAGGTCTGTGTGACAATGAGTGGGAGCAGGAGGCGGTGGCAGAGCTGTGTCAGGACTTGGGTCTATGGTAACATGTGGTGAGGAGCCGCCCCTCCCTGGCTGTGGGGCCAGTGGGGAGCCTGGGCAGACACGGGACAGGCTGGGCCTCTTGCGTTGGGACAGAGGGTGAGACTGAAGTGGCCTTGAGTCCAGGCCAAGGGTCTCGCTGTCCTCGAGAGGCTCTGAGGCCTGGATATTGGCTCTCCTAGGACCGGGTCTAGAGGCCCACATTGGGCCCGAGGGCTCCTAGCTCCCACGTTGGGGTAGGAATTGGTGTTGGTCCATGGATGCCCCATCAGCCCTGCTTCTCGCCTCTGCCAGTTTGGAGGTGTTGCTCCTCCACGGCAATTATCACAGCTGTATCAAGTTTTTTTTTTTTTGGAGACAGGGTCTCGTTATGGAGTTCGGACTGGCCTTGAGCTCACTTTGTAGCTCAGGCTGGTCTCGAACTCGCAATGATCCTCCTGCCTCAGCCTCCCGAGTGCTGGGATAACAGGCGTACACCACCATGCCCGGCTGTATCAAGTATTTGTTAAGGAGTCTGACAGGTGGGCACTGTGACTTGTTTTCACGACACTGTACTCTGAACTGCAGGACTGAGTAAACAGCACCAGACGCTAGTTAGACCCACAGCCTCACCGCACACTGGTTCTGAGTTTAGGCAGCTAATCTAATGCAAGCCCATTTCTCAGCTGTGAGATGGAGGTGATCCCTCTGTGTCAAGGTGCTCCGAGGGCTCACTAAGATTCCACAAATACCTTCAAGTACCCGGGCCCAGCTCAGCCCAGGGCCTTGGGTGGCACTGATGGCGAGGGACGTGGTAGCTGATATCAAGGAAATCGGCCCCTTATGGAGCCCGGTTCCAGTGTGCAAAGGACAGCGCTGTGGCACTGAAGAGCTACCAGGTCCATTCTGCCCACCCAGGCTCAGTCACCGGGAGGGTCGCCGCGTGTCTCCTGAGGCCTATGGGGCCTGGGCCGCCCTGGTCTTCCCCATCCCGAAGGGGACCCCAGAAACAGAACTAGGAGCAAGCAGAGGGCTATTATATATCATGCTTTTAATACAAACTTAAAAAAATCTGGAACAATATAAACTGTACAGATTTGATCAATCTTTTTTGTTTTGTTTTTAAACTAAATCTCTAAACACACCAATGTTCCATTCCAAAATATTGCACAACATTCTGAATACAAAATGCTTGATTGTATTCCTCCTTCACTAAAGAAAAAAGGTGGTTACTCTGCTCCCCTGGCCCCTCTCCACGCCTGCCTCCGCGCCCCCTTCCCGTCCCCAGGGAAAAGACTAGAGAATCTAGAGTCACCGCGTTGAGAAGAAGACACCATTCCGGGCTGACAGTACCGTCCTTACAAGATAACCCACCTCCACTTGTTCCTGGGAAAGAGGGGTAGAGCGATAGGGTGGGGAAAGGGGAGAAAAAGGTTTTATTCTTTTTTTTAAAGTTTGTTTTTTCCTGAAAAAATATTGGTTTCTCTCCTCTTTTTAAGAAAAAACTCTTGAAAAGAAAAAAATTACGTTTCTTACGTTAGAAATATACATATATTATATATACCTCTTACATTTTACAAATGTAGCAAATTATTCAATACAAACAGACACCAAAAAATGTAAAAAATAAAAAAAAGTTTTCCTACGAAACCAGGTAAATTAGTGCAGGTTTTTATTTTCTTAAAAAAAATAAAATTGAAGCAAAAATGCCTAGATTTGAGACGAGGCTGAGCTGGGCCTGAAGCCCAGGCCGGGGTCGCGTTCCTGAACACATTTTTCTTCGGGTTTCCGAAGACACCTCGGGCCGGTCTCCCGTCCCTGACGTGCTGCGGCGGCGGCTCCCTCGTGCGGAGCGGCTGCAGGGGCCAAGGCAGACCCAGTCTTTCTCGGAGACAGGTGTTCTGCCTGGGCCCGTGGCCTCGGTCGGGGCTGAGGGGGGCGCGGGGGCGGCCGGTGCAGCAGAGCAGACGGTGCTGGACTAGGCCCGGGCTTCGCCCCTGGGGGAGGTAGAGCCGGTGCTCGGCGCAGGGGGAGGAGGCTGGCAGTGTCTGCCACACTGCTGCCACAGTGCCTGCTTGGGGCCCCTGGGAAGATGGCGCAGGGTGGGGTGCCAGGGGCTTGGGTGCTTTCTGGAGACGGCGCCCTGATGCCAAGCACCCCACCGGCCAAAGCATCGTGGGGCAAGGAAGCAGCCCGGGCTGAAGAAAGCTCCGCTTCTGCAGGGGCGCCACGGTGAGCGCCTTCCTGAAGCCTGAAGGCTCCAAGGGCACTGGCTGCCCCGCCCAGCCTGCCAGGGAAAACCCGCCTCTCAGCGGCAGGCGCCCGCTTGACTGAGGGCGAGAGAGGAACAAGCAGCTCGCGGGCAGGGCGCACACACACTCAAGTGACCCCCACGGCCAGAAGCCCAGAGTGTCTCCACTCAAGGCCCGGGATGCCCCCGGCACCAGCCCCAGCCCCACGCCCTCAGGGGGCCCGGTGAGGGGCTCACGCCAGGCGGGGCGCAGGACAGGGCTGGGAAATCCAGGGACCTCTAGGCGTCCAAGGCTTGGCTATATCCTTTGCCCTTCAGAACTTTTTTTTGGTCAGAAACGAAAGTGTAGATCCCCCTGCAGTCTGGAAACCAGCTCCTGCCGTGCTTTCCCTGGGGAGTGTCCTAGGCACAGCCACAGTGTCGCCCGCCACAGGCCCTGCCCTAGGAAAGGACTGATCTTCCGCCCGGCCCATCCCAACCCGGAACACAAATAAGCACTTGCTGCAACCTGGAATCACACCCTGACGGCAGACGGGAAGTGTCACACGGCTCGCGATCCTTTAGAACAGGACAGTAAGCCATGCACGCACGCGCACACACACACACACACACACACGCACGCACACGCACACACAAATATACACACGCTCACCCGCCTCCCTTCCCACAACCTCAGGCCCAGAGAGGACGGGGCTGCGTGAGTGAGAAAGGGTGGCTGGGTTTCCTGGGCCGTGAGGACGGTGCAGGGCAGGAGGGGATGGCAGGACAGGGACAGAGGGCAGAGATCAAAGTAGCTCAACTAAACACAGTGCTAACCTCCCTGCGTCAGTCACAGCTCTAGGGGGAGGGAGTCGGTGGCCCAGCCTGAGAGGGAGTGGGGCTGGGGTCGGAGCTATCGGGGCAGGGCCAAGGCGCCCTGCTGAGGTTGGATGGCTTTGAGCGAGAGGGTAACTGGTGACAGAGGCAGTGACACGGGCCAGCCTCTCCCTGCGCGGGGAGAGCCAGCGCCAGCTGCAGCTCTTCCTTCCCTGTGAGCTTGGACACACGACCCTGAACGGAGTGTGAAGGAGGGAGGGAGGGAGGGAGCAAGGAGCAGCAATTCACATCTGGACCATTCTTAGCACAAGAAGCCACTAATTCAAGATGCTCTATAGAAAACTACATGTAAAAAAAAAAGGAAAAAAAAAAAAGAAATATAAAATCCAAACCAACCAAATAAATCAGAGGCAGGCAGGAAGACAGTCAGGGCGAGCTGAATGACTCCGCACTCCGGGAGCCCTCCCCCGCCGAGCCTGCGCTGGATCCTGTGTGCGGACGTGAGAGCGAGGAGGCGGCCGTCTCTCCGGTACCTTCCCCTCGCCCCTCGGCCGCTGCTTCCCGCTCTCCCCCGGTGGCCTGGGGCGCTCCCGGCCCCGCGCGGTCAGTTGGCCAGCACCACGGGCTGGAAGGGCTGGCTGGGGTACTGCATGGCGTTCAGGTTGTAGCTGAGGCCCTCCACGAAGGGCGTCTTCTCCAGGAAGAGGCTGTTGGTGCTGCCTCCGAAGACCTGGGCCACGTCGAAGCTGCCGCTGTTACAGGTGCCGGCCCCGCCGCCCTGGCCCTCCGCCCCCTCGAAGAAGAGGCCGGGCGAGCCGCCGCCGTTGTACACGAACTCCTTGGCGTTGGGCGAGAGCTGGGACTGCGGCGCGGGGCTGGCGGGGACGAAGTTCAGGGAGTGCATGGACAGCGACAGGCCCTTGTGCTTCAGCAGGCTGCTGGTGGGCGAGCGGGCCATGCGCGGCGGCTGCGGAGGCGGCTGCTGGCCCCCCGGCCCGCTGCTGCCCACGGTGCCCCCGCTAGACGCCCCGCCGCCCTTCTTCATCTTGGTGGAGCCAAATTTGGTGGCAGCAAAGGAGGCGGTGGTGAAGGTGAGGGGCTGTGCGGAGCGGGGGATGAAGGTCGGGCTGGGCGACTGGCCGAAGGGCGGCGACGGGGAGCTGGACAGGGAGCTGCCCTGGCTGCCGATGGGCACGAACACCTGGGCGTCGGGGTTGAAGCTGCTCTTGATCTCCTTGTCCAGCTCTGGGGCGCCGCCGCCCTCGCTGTCGTCCAGGTAGAGCACTTTCACCGTCCCCTTCTCGCCGATCTGGTAGGACACCTCGAAAGGGTCGATCCACACGCTCAGCTCCTCGGGCACGTTGGCCCGCACGTCCTCCACCGCCAGGCCGCTCCGCCTGGCAGCCAGCTCCACCACGGGGTCCACCACCTCCCCGATGTGGACGCAGCGGAAGCCAGAGCCCTTCAGCGGCCTGTCAGGGTACCAGTGGCCTTCATATTTCTTTTTCAACAGCCGCTCCAGCTCCTCCCCAAACAGGTCTGCGCGCCGCCGGGGCAGCTTGTTGTATAAGTAGGAGATAATGAAGTTCAGGGCCACTTTGATCTCCAGCTGCATGGTCCTTTCAGAGGCAGAGTCAGGGCGGGGCAGGAGACACACGGTGGGCAGCGTCGGGCTCTGGATGGTTCTGGGAAATGAGAAAGGAGGAGAGGGGCCCGTGAGCAGATATGCAGGAAAAAAGGTGGCATAAACCAATGGGGAAGGACAGAGAGCACTGATTTGGGCTGGGCGTGGTGGCACATGCCCCAGACCCCAGCTACTCAGAAGGCTGAAGCAGGAAGATCACAAGCTGAGGCCAGACTGGAGAACTCAGTGAGACCCTATTTCAAAGTAAAAATATGACTGGGTGTGGTGGCACACGCTTGTAATCCCAGAATTGGGGAGGCTGAGGCAGGTGGATCACTGAGTTTGAGACCAGCCTGGGCTACAAAGTGAGTTCAAGGCCAGCCTGAACTGCATAGAGAGACCCTGTCTCAAAAAGACCAAAAAATTTTTTATAAAGTAAAAAAAATAAAATAAAAAGGGAGGCTAGGGCTGTAGGGCAGTGGTAAAGTGCTTGCTAGCATGGAGACCCCCTGGGTTCAACCCCAGTATCACCAAAAACAAAACAGGAAAAGCAAAAGCACACCAGCTTGGGGTCACTCAGACTCAGAGGCCATTTCTGCTGCACTAGGCTGTGGTTAAGTGACTTCCTTCCGAGCCTCTGTCTCCTCATCAGTAATGTAACGGTATCACAAATTCCAAGGGGATAAACTGCCTTGCTATAAACTCCTGTACTTAGCAAACAGCTGTGATTTAAAGGTAATTCTAAAGAAATCAGGGTGCCGTGTTTTCCACCAGTTTGAGGGCCACAATATAACCCCACCACCACCACTACCTGCACAACCCCAGAGCTCTTATTCAGCCAGAGAAGGGGTGGGCATTTCTTGCTGTCTCGGTGAAACTGTGCCAGCCCAAGCTGGAAATGTAAAATCTTCAGCTGTCCCCTTCCATGGCAGGGGATACAGGTCACCACACAGGAAGGAGCGCTGGCAGCTTTTCACCGGGGCTGGGACACCACTCCCACCCATCCGTCCTCCTGAGCCCTGCAGCTGCATATGCTCAGGCTCAGTCTGGGTTTGCAAACTGCCTTTCTGACTCCACAGCGTGACCAGAGCCACCCAGAGAGCTCCAAGAATGGGGACAAGAGTATGGTCCAGGGAAGATCCTGTCACAGCCAGAGACATGGGCCACTGAGGGGACCACTGCAAGGGAAAGCAGGGCCTGGAAGCAGTATAAAGAGCAGCACTTGAGACCTGGGTGTGGTGGTGAGCACCTGTCATCTCAACCTTCTGGGAGGCTGAAGCAGGAGGATCTCAGGTTTGAGGTCACCCTGGGCAACTTAAGTGATTTAGCAAGACCCTGTCTCAAAATTTAAAAAAGGTCTAGGGGCTCAGTGCAAAAACCCTGTGTTCAGCCCCCATTACCTCTCCCAATATACACACACAGAGCAGGGAGAGAGACAGCAGAGAGGGAATTTCCATCACCCTCCAGCTGGCAGCTGGGGACCCATCACCACTCGGTCTCTCAGGGACAGTCTGCCCACCTGTCTCGGCACAGGGTCAGATTTATCAAGTGTTCGGAGATCCCTGGAGGAGGCAGCCAAGGTAAACAAGGCTGGATATTTTGGGATTCTCCAAGCCAGACGCCCCTGAGGGTGGAGAGGCTTAGGCAGTGGCCTGGGCCAGCCTCAGGTTTCGGGAAGACGATCTGTGAGGTCTCGAGCGCCAGGGAACCTAATCTAATGTTCCCCAAAAGGGGGGCTCCTGGATTCATGCTCGGGGAGACCCTGAGCTAGAAAGGGCCCCTCTGAGAGGGGTAGGGTGAGGATGTGTCTCAGGCAGTCACAGGGATGGCTGTGCTACTGCTGAGCTCAGCGCGGAAATGAGAGGGAGCCGGGACCCGGCAAGGGCACCTTCGGGCCTGTGACAGGCTCGAGCTAGGTGTGACACAACCCCTGCAGTCCCAGGAAGGAGCAGTAAGGATTCAGGTACAAACTGGAGGACTGGGGACCTGGCCCAGTGCCTTTCCCTGTAACTCTCAGGCCCCAGCCCAAGGGCACTTTTAGGACTAAATCCTCAGGAAGATGAGTTTCTGGAGTGAATGCGTCTGGGAAGACACATGGGTCCATCTGGAGCAGCAAAGGTCAGTGGCTTGATGGGGTCTGAGCCTCATTCCAGATCTGAGGCCACGGGGGGGTGGGGGGGGCGTTACGAAGGTGGCCGCAGCGCCCACGTCCGTCTCCTGTGCTGGCCACTGGAGGCTCAGCATTCGGGAAACCTGCCTACTCCTGTTCCAGCCTCCCACACACTTGGTCTGCATGTCTCTTCAGACATCTATCTACTCACAGTCAGACACCCCAGCTCCAAGGTCCTTTTAGGTTTAAAAAGAAGAACAGTAAAAGAATAAAGGGCTGTTTATGAGGACTGGGTTCATCACGGAATGGAAGGCTGGCATACCGGACAGCAGGACTCCTCCCAAGAATGGACTCTTCCTTCCTTCCTTCCTTCCTTCCTTCTTTCCTTCCTTCCTCCCTCCCTCCCTCCCTTCCTTCCTTCCTTCCTTCCTTCCTTTTCTCTCTCTCTCTCTCTTTCTTTCTTTCTTTCTCTCTCTCTCTTTCTTTCTTTCTTTCTCTCTCTCTCTCTTTCTTTCTTTCTCTCTCTCTCTTTCTTTCTCTCTCTCTTTCTCTCTTTCTTTCTATCTCTCTCTCTCTCTCTCCTCTCTCTCTCTCTTTCTCTCTTTCTTCCTTTCTTTCTTCCTTTCTTTCCTTTCTTTTCTCTCTCTCTCTCTCTCTCTTTCTTTCTTCCTTCCTTCCTCTCTTTCTTTCTTTCTTTCTTTCCTTTCTTTTCTTTCTTTCTTTCTTTCTTTCTTTCTTTCTTTCTTTCTTTCTTCTTTCCTTCTTTCATTCATTCATTCGTTTATTTAGAGTCAAGGTCTCACTCTGTTGCCTAGGCTAGCCTCAAACTCCTGGGCTCAAGCAGTCCTCCTGCCTCAGCCTCCCCAATAGATGGGACTGGTGCCCAGCTTAAGAAAGGTTTGGAAGAATCACTCTGGTTTACTAGAGGTGTCCAACAGAGAGGAGACTGAAAAACTGTGAAGTTGGCATCAGTTGCCCAAGATGGACACGTTGTTAAAGTTGCTGTTTTCGGGGGCTGGGGATTTAGCTCTGCCGCATAGCGCCTGCCTGGCAAGCGCAAGGTCGTGAGTTCGATTCTCGGTACCAGAAAAAAACAAAAACAAACAAACAAAAAAAGATGCTGTTTTCTTTTTTGGTACTGGAAATCGAACTCAGGACCTTGCATTTGCCAGGCAGGTGCTATACCACTGAGCTATATCCACGGCCAAGGGTGTCTTCAAAGAGATTTTGAGCCAGGTGTGGTGGCACATGCCTGTAAGCCCAGCACTCGGGAGGCTGAGGCAGGAGGACTGTTGTGAGTTCGAGGTCAGCCTGAGCTACAAACTGAGTTCAAGCCCAGCCTGAACTACATAGTGCGACCCTGTCTCAAAAAGACACATATACATACAAAAAAACCCCAAAAACAAACAAAAAAACCCAAAGAGATTTTGAAAAGTAAATCAGATTTGAAATCAACAAAAGACACTTCTCCCAAGGTACCAGGTGGCCTCTTGGTATTCAGCCTAGACCAGATGGCTTCTACACCTTCCTAAGCCTCCTTAAACTCTGCTGTATAATTACCTTCCAAGTTACAGCCCCGGAACAGTTCAGCCTCAAAATGCAAGCATTTTTAAATGTAGGCCAAAGTCATTGGGAAATAAGCCTCCCGCCCCAAAATACAATAGAAGCACTGTCATCAGCCCTGCCCAGTGAGCCATTTTCTGCAGCATAAGCAACTACAGCTGCACACCAATTTATACCTCAGAGATGGTGCTGCACAAGTAAGGAAGCATGTAATGCCACCTTCGGCTCTTCAACTGGAGGACAGGCCAGGCCAGATGGCTGTGGGGTGGAACCTTACAAAAATGCCCGACGACCAGAATGAGATTTTCTGCTCTGTCAGCTCAGGGTCTAATTTTGACTTCAAGAAGCTTATGGGGCAGAAGATTAAAGCACTGGTGCTGTCTTGTCTTCAGCTAAAGACAGGAGTGACCATTTGGATGAGTTTGTTAATTCATTAGAAAGCTATAGACACACTCTAGAGTTCCTATATAAAATATTTACGGAAGTGTAAGATTAGAAAGCTTAGAGATAATCATCCTAAAAAAAAAAAGAATCATCCTTCAACAAAACAAACGAGTAAGATTCGTGAAGCAGCTGCGGAAGACTCAAGATCTTTTCCAACCGAAGTCCAGCACAGGTAGCTAAGGCGGATGGGGGAGGGAAACCCCCCTGTTTGTCAATGTATTAAAAAGTTGCAGATATAAATGTTTTCCAGTCTCATTAAGAACCTTATCCACCTTCGCTTGTTTACATCTGGCCACAAAGTTAAACCTGGATTCACAACCCTGGTGCTGACTTTTATTTCAAAGAGTTAAATGCTTAAGAGAAAGAGGAGGAGGCGTGAGGCTGGGAGGAGGCCTCAGTCAGTGCACATTCTAGAAAGAGCTACTGATGAGAGTGCCAGGCCAAGTTTTTAAGAAGGAAAAAAAAAAAAAAAAAAGACAGTTTTGTTTTAGAAAGGGAGAGGAAAAGATCGGGGGAGTAGCTCAGCAGTAGGGCACTTGTCCAGCATGCACAAGGCTCTGGGTTTGATTCCCTGAGTGAGGGGGACGAGGGTGAAGGAATCTGGCCCCAAAGCTATACAGGTATCCGGGCACCTCCAACCCTTAGCATCCAAATCATCCCACAGTCAAGTACTCAAGCATGTACTTGGATACAAATAGCTGGGCGTGGTGGCGCACCCCTGTAATCCCAGCACTCGGAAGGCTGAGGCAGGAGGATCCTTGCAAGTTCGAGACCAGCCTGGGCTACTAGGTGAGCTCAAGGCCAGCTTGAACTGCATAGTGAGACCCTGTCCCCCAAAAGACCAAAACAAAACAAAAAAAGATCAAATAAAGGAGTGTGGGGCAAGGGACAGGGGCAAGAGAGTGCGAGGGGGTAGGTGCTACAGTTCGGCGGCGGAGCTGCTGCCCCGGGAAGCAGTAATGCAAGCAGTAATGCAAGCCGTCGCCCAGGCTGAAAGACCTTGCCCCACTCCGCGGTCCCAGGTGGAGAGAGGGTGTAGGGAAAATGTGGGTTGAATGGCCTCCAGGACTTGAGGTGTCTGCACCCCGCCCGTCTCGTATTACATCCCTCAAACACAGCCCACGCAAGCTACTCAGGGGCCTGACCCCCAGGGCTGTCTCCAGGCCCGAGCGCTTCGGGCTCGGCCTCTCCCCGCGCGCAGCCGGAGGGCGCGCGCTCAGCACCCTGGGAGCCCCATCCTCGAGCCCCTCGCGCGCCGGCGCGTGACCTACTTCTGCGCACACCACACTTCCCGGCGCGCCCCGCGAGGCCGCCCGCTGATCGCGCATGCCCGGCAGGGGGACTGGGCCGGGGTCGGGAGCCAAGGAAAAGTTTCCGAAGCACATGCGCGCTGGGGCGGACGGCACCCCCTCCCATCGCCTAAGATATTTCGTGCCAATCTAGCCACTAGGCCTCCTCGCCATAGTGCTTCGCCCCACCGCGTCCGAGTCCAGGCTTTACAAGGGGCTCAACTTTCTGCCCTTTCTCTTCACATTCTCCCAAGACCACTGAATTAGGGATCTGCCTCTAAGGAGCGCCCCTCGACCCCCCGCCCCATGAAGGGTGTAGACTGGGATAGATAAGGCCACATCCCCCGACTCCGCCGCCAACCCTGCCTCTTGATCTAAATTCCATGGCTGGACTGGACAGTCGCCGTCTGGCGTTGCTGTAGGGACGGCGGATCCAGAGAGAAAGGAGCCTTTTTCATTTAATGCCCAATGGGCTTGGCTCCAGCACCCCCACAGCCAGGAAAGGAAAGGCAGGAATTAGACCTCGTTCTTTGGTCCTCTTGGCCAAAGAAATTCCCACTTAAGCTGTGGGGAGGCGCCTGCAGGACAATTAGAAGGCCTGACGCCAGGAGGGCCCAAACCTCACCCCACTTCTAATCCAAGTCTGAGTAACCAGACCTGGGCGGATGAGGAAAATGTTCCTGAGCAGGAAAGGAAAAACTGTACACCAGAAACCTGAAGAGCCAGGCATGATGGTGCACGCCTGTAATCCCAGCACTGGGGAGGCTGAGGCAGGAGGATCACCATAAGTTCGAGGCCAGCTTGGGCTAGACAGTGAGTTCAAGGCCAGTCAGAACTACATCAAAACCTTGTCTCAAGAAAAAAAGAAAGAAAGAAACCTGAACAACATCTTCTAATACTTAAAATTCATTGTGTGAGTCGCCTCGCACTGCTAGGCCTACCCTACCACCAGATTTACCATATCCTCCGCAAAGCTCCCCTACAGGGTGCTAAACCTCCCTAATCCTTCCTCCCACACAAGCTGCTTTCCCAACGCTAAGAGGAGGATGGGGGCAGGCGCCCGAGAATGCAAGAGGGCTGTTTTTCTACAGGGAGACCGAAGATGAGAACCCATTCCCAGAGTAGGGTGGGTAAAGCGAGAAAAAGCTAGGTCAGACCCTAAGCAGGCACCTGAGACCCTGTCTAATGGTCCCTAAATTGAAGCCCAAAGTGTGGGTGCTGGTGGCTCAGGGGGAGCGGAGGGCCTGCAGGCTGCCCCTCTGTTTGCTCCCTCCTTTCCCTCCTGGTCAAGGCCACAGCCCAACCTCCGGACAGGTGGAGGAGTTCAGGAGCCCGGTCCTCACTCCCAGGCACCCCACCGAGATCAAGCAAAATCCACTCCCTGGCAAGGTTCTGCGGGACTTCCCCCTCTGCCCAGCTTCCCCTTAAAGCACAGAAGGGGATAAAGAGCTCAAACTGGAATGAATTGTGGCTCAGGAGCCCAAAGCCAATCTCCACAAATCGGTCCCATCGCCAAAAAAACGGTGTCTAACTCCATCCCTGAGGCTCGATACGGCCAGAAATACTAATAATCACCACTTCCCCTTCCCCGCTCACGGGAAAAGCAGCAAAAAACAAGGCTCGGATCCCCTTCCTTCCTCTAATTTATTTAACGGTGGTGCGAGTTATGTTCCTTTGGAGAGCAAGGAAAACCTAGCGCATATTTGGAATACGAAGAGCTGGAAATGGAGGCAAGGGGAGAAATGCACCCCACCCAGCAGGGGCCACTGTTGGAACTGGGAGAGGAGGAGCCGTGGGTACCCCGGAATCAGGGAGAAGCACAGGAGAAAGGGGAGTCTAGAGGGAAAGCGGGCCGGGAGAGGACAACGCTGGCCTGGCGAGGGAGGGGGCGACAGCGACGTGGAGTGCCCCCCCAGCCGAGAGCAGCCGTGGAGCGGGGTGGGGAAGGCGGGCGGGCCGGGGGTGTCGGCGGGCCCCGCGCCCGCATCCCCCGCACTCACTCGATCTCCGCCACGGCGGGGCCGCTTCTCCTGCCACGGTGGTCCTGAGCGCGGGGCGGGGGTCGCTTTCCCTGTCTTCCCGGGCTCCGCGAGGCCGGGGCCGCTGTGTTCTTCTTTTCCTTGAGGTTTGGGGGCGAGGAGGGAACGGTGGCTATGACCCTCAATGTTCTTTCCGCTCGGAGGTCGGCTCGGCGGCGGGGGACGGAGGGCGGGCGGGTTCGTGGCCGGCGAGCGGTGCTGCTCTTCTGGCCCCCGCGTCGCCCGAGCCACTGGCTGACCTCCGAGGGAAACCCGCACGTCCCCGCGCCCCGGCTCGAAGTGAGCAAAGTCAATGAAAAGTTTCACCCTTAGCAACCCTGCGCACGGATCCGGCTTCCCCACCCCTGCGTGATGCGTCCCTCCGCCCTGCCGGGGCGGGGCCGGGCGCGCAGCCGGGACTACTTCCCGGCCGGCCGAGCTTAACCCCTGGGTGCCCGGCGCAGAGCTTGGGGCCCGGCGAGGGATAGGGTTAGGGGCCGGACTACCCTCTCGAGCTCAAGGGTGCGGTTCCCCAAACGATCGCCTGCCACCTCCCTCCAAGGCCATTCTCCTTCCCCTCCCTATCCCAGCGCCACTGCGCCGTATTTGTCTTCAGGTTCTCAGCCACTGTCTGAACTCGCGCTCACGTTGTAAGGTGCTTCCCCAGGTGGACATGAGCTCCGCGAGGGCAGGGACACGGTGGGCGCTCCCAGGGGCTGCGCCGGATGAGGGGATGTCGCGGGGAGGGCCCGCATCCTCCGGCCCCCCTAGTTCGCCCCGCCGACTTTTCAGCCCTACGCCTGCCTGGGCACCGACGACACCGGTCCCTCGCCCAGGCCACCTCGGTGCAGATGTCCTTCCGACTCAGGGGGTTCGACTGTCCCCGCGGCGACCGCATCGCCCCAGTTAGGGTCTCCTCTCGGGTCAGGGAAGTGGAACACGACGCAAGCTCTGCAAACATTTCGCACCTAAACTGGGGTTGACTTGAGTCTTCGAGAGCCGCGCGCCTCGTCGGGGAACGCGCGCTGTGAAGGGAGTGGGGGATCTGGGGCCCGGGGCGAGCTCTGCGAGGGGAGAAGAGCAGACTACGATTAACCTTCCAGTCGCCGCTTCCGGGCCCCAGTTCCCCGCGCCAGGAGAGGGCGGGCAGGCACCAGCTCTACGCGAGCGCGGGCCCTCTGGGGAGGCCCACGTTTGCTGTCCCTGAGTGGCAACCTCCAAAAGGGGTAAGGGAAAACAAGCCACGTTTCTTCTAGCAGTGGACAGCGGCAAAGGGGGGGGACACCCGCCCCTACAGAGGGCGCCGGGCTTGCACACCCGAAGTCCCTTGGGCGGCGACGCAAGGTTCTCCAAATCCGAGACGGGGCACTCCAGGCTTGCGCGATCAGGTCCTCTGGCCGGGCTTTGGCCATGCAGGTCACTTTGTCTTTTTGTGACAGGACGAGGCATAGGGCTGGGGGCAGGAGAGCTGTTAGGTGAGGTCACAGGAGGATGCACTGCCAGACGGCGAGTGCCGCGGCCCCGGGGGGACAGGGGGGACTCGTGCCGGAAGTCGTTTCCCTCCTTAGAGCACCCCTTCCTCAGTCCTTTCCCCCGCCTCCTTTCTCAGCCCTGACGGTTCCGGCCCGGTGGCTGCCTCCGAACCCACGTGGGGGTGGTGAGATCGGAAAGTTTCCAGTTACGAGCAGTTTGCATTTTATTTTCCTTGATCACTTTTTTTGGCAAGGGCAGAGGGCAGCGGTAGCGTGGGGACTGAAATGCGCTCTCCTTGACAGCAGCAGAGAATGGCCAGGTTAGAGGGCAAACTCTACGGACGAGGAGGCGGGAGGGAGTGTGGCCCGAGAGAGAGCCCCCATCCCCCACGCGCAGAGCGCTAGGCCCCCGGGGCACCTCCAGGGACTACTTGCTTCGTGCGTCAGCGAGGGGCAAAGCGTCATACACACGCCCCCCTCCGCCTTTCCTCGCTTCACCCTCCTCTCTCCTCTCCTCCCCTCTCCAACTCTCGTCTCGTTGAGCGTTCCACTCGAGCTGTGACAGCCAGCCCACCGCCGGGTGCCAGAACCTCCTTAGCTAAAAATATAACCTGTGCGTTAGCAACAGCCTTCCCATTGGTTGGAGGGAGAGGCATCGTAGCGCTGATTGGGTCTCGCGTTCAGCCGATAGCACCGGGCCCCGGGTAGTGTGCGTTTGCGCAGTGGGTCATGGCAAAGGGTGCTGGTATTTGTAGTTGTTCGTTAGAGGCAGCCATGGACTAGGTGGGTTTATATTCCTGTTCTGCCTCCTACTGTATGCTCTTAATTTAATGCTACATCTCCAAATCTCAGTGTCCTCCTCTGCAAAAACAGAGATCATGTGGGGATTAAATGTACTGTATATAAAAGTCTAGCTCAAATAGTTTCTATTCTTAACCTCAATACCAATTGCACCCCATGTATCTTGCATGTACTGGGCTCAGTTGGTGTGTATTCCGCAATGGCAAACATTCTGGGACAGAATGATGGGAAAGGTGAGGGAGCGCTGGAGTGAGTTGTCCTCTGGTATCTCTGGGAGGAGGGACGGAGTATATATAAGCTAAGCGAGGGCAGCCGGGATCCCTAGGAGGAAGGTGTTGAGTTTCTGGTACCGGTGCTTTTATTTGAATCTTTCCTGCGGTGCTGGAAACACACCAGTCCTGAGCAGCATTACTAACACAAAGCAGGCATCCAGGCTCCTTGGCAAACGGGAGCTCTGGGTAAAGGTTAGACAAGAAAAGCTAAAATGGAGAAGAAAGGTAATCACCTTTCTTTACTGCTGATGTCTCTCCCCATTTATCACGTGGCAAGGAGGCAGCTTTTTCTGTCCCCAACGTGTGGTTTCATGTTGCCAAGGGTTGATTGGGAGCTAAATTCCTACTCCAGCATTCGCGATTCCCCTCACGTTTCAAACGCTGAAAGGTGCACACGGTGCTTTCAAAATGGTGAGCTGTGGACGCGAGAGCGGAGGGGGAGGGCGGGAGCGACTCTCCTGTCAGAGCAAAGCGAGTTCTGCCAGATGTTTCGGTGCCAGTGACAAGACAGGCTGGTCACGGTTGGCCCCAATTAAGTCTCAGGGCGAGTCACTCATATGCACATGCTAGGGTGGTAATTTTGTAGTTTGTTTGTTTGTTTATTGAGACAGGGTCTCACGATGTAGCTCAGGCTGTCCTTGAACTCACTATGTAGCCCAGGCTGGCCTCGAAGTCCTGGCAATCCTCCTGCCTCAGCCTCTCAAGTGCTGGGATTACAGGCTTGTGCCACCACACCTGGCTCTATAGTTGTTGTTTTTTTAAGTTATATAGGTAACTATTTTCTCTACTTGAACTTTTTTTACTGGTACTGGGGATTGAACCCAGGGCTTTTACATTGAACTACAGTCTTAGCTCTTTATTTTTTTTTTACTGTGAGACTAGGTCTTGCTAAATTGCCCAGCGTGGGTTCAAACTTGCCATTCTTCTGCCTCAGCCACTCAAGAGTTGTGGGATTACAGGTGTCCACCACCAAGCCTGGCTCCAGTTTGATTCTCGGGGAGCTAATGGTGCAGTTGTGCTAGCAAAGACAGCCAAAACAAAGACTGGCTTTGGGAAGAATGCTTGGCTGCCCAGGGTGATACACGATTTGCTGTTTATTCCTGGAGACTATGAATTCCAGTAAGGAAGGTAATCTAACAAGACGTTTTCACTAAGACCTTAAAACACGGTGTTTTTTGTTTTTTCTCCGGTACCAGGAACCGAACTCACGACCTTGCGCTTGACCAGGCAGACGCTTTGCCGCTGAGCTAAATCCCCAGCCCCAAACACGATGTTTAAACAAAGTAACATCCTGGTGCTCTTCACTGGGACGCAATTGATAAGGAACTGACTACCTGGGAAAAGATGGAAATTATTTGAATTCTCCTTTTTCTTTTTTTTATTCTTTTAAGGCGGGAAAATTCCAACCAAGGCAAAGAATCTTTCACGTTTATGTTCTTTCTTGAAACTACTATTACAAAGCTACAGGTCAAAATAGAGTGACACAGTCTGACTCTCCACAATTTAGTGAGTTCGGTGTGATTCTCTGGAGAAACTGATTTTCTTAATTTAGAAGCTACTAATTGGAAGACCAAAGCCTGCATCTGGTGGATGTGTTTTCTTGGCATATATACTAAGTTTTTAAAAGTGAGTTGCCGTGGCCAGGCATGGTGGCACATGCCTGTAACTTGGGAGGCTGAGGCAGAAGGATTGCCACAAGTTCAAGGCCAGCCTGAATTACCTAGGGAGACCCTGTCTCAAAAAAAAAAAAAAAAAAAAAAAAAAAAAAAAAAAAAAAAAAAAAAAAAAATGAGTTGCCAACACTTAAAAATCAGGAGGCTGTTAGATAGGGTGGTGCATACTGTAAGCTTAGCACTCAAGAGGCTGAGGCAGGAAGAGCACCATGAGTTCAAGGCCAGCCTGAGCTACATATCAAGTTTAAGGCCAGCTGGACTATATATATAGTGAGATCCTGTCCCCACCCTCAAAAAAAGGGATATTGCAAAAACGTATCTTAGATTGCTTCTTGTCTTCAGTTGAGAAGACCTGGCAAGACAGAGTGTTTAAGCTGGCAGCAACCATATATATATATATATACATATATGTATATATATGTATATTTTTTGGGGGGTCTTTTTTGAGACAGGGTCTCACTGTGCAGTTCAGGCTGAACTTGAGCTCACTTTGTAGCCCAGGCTAGCCTCAAACTCGCAGTGATCCTCCTGCTTCAGCCTCCTGAGTGCTCAGATTACAGGTGTGCGCCACCACACCTGGAATTCTTATTCATTTTTCAGATGAGGTCTCACTATGCTGCCCAGGCTGGCCTTGAACTCTTGGTCTCAAGTCATCCTCCTGCTTCAGCTTCTTGAGTAGTTGAGTTCCCAGCAAGCTGTTTCTAAATTTGAAGTTGTCATCTATTACTAAGGTTGTAAAACAGCCTCATTTAATGGATTTCAGCCAGAAATTTTAGAAGTAGGCGCTAACTGTAAAAGAGCTACCACTTTTAGCTGATCACAGTAGCACATACCTGTGGCCCTGGCTACTTGGAAGGCTGAGGCAGGAGGGTCATAAATTTAGGGCAGCCTGAGCAATTTAGGGAGACCCTGATCAAAATTTGTAAAAGGGGTGGTAGGGCTGTCACTCAGGATGAGAGCACAAGTGGTGTGCCCTGGGTTAAATGTCTAGTACTACAAAAAAGAAAAAGAAAAAAAAGGCCAAAATCTCACCACTGTAGTATATGCGCTGCCGAAGCGAGCATGACATCACCACTTTAATAGTAAATCTGCTCAGTAAGGGTTGGACACTTAGGTTGAGCCCTCCTCACCTGAAGAGGTAGGCATTATCCAGAAACAGACTATATGACTCGCTAAAGGCCAGTAGTAGAGCAGAATTTAAATACAAATCTGCTTGCAAAGCCCACACATTTCTCACTAATAACTGTTGTCACAGCCAGAGCATATGTAAGAAGGGCAGGGTTGCCACCATGGCAACACACACCGGTCATCCCAGCTACTTAGGAGGCTGGGGCAAGAGGACTGGCAGGTTTGAGGTCAGCCTAAGCAATAAAGTGAGACCCTAAGATGTGCAGGGGAAATGAAGTTGCTGTGTATGTGTGTGCAGAGTTCACAGGAGTGCCAAGTTGGGAGCAGCTAGACGCATCCTTCTTAGAACCCAGAACTGAATCCAACACTTAGTACTTAATAAGTGACTAATAGCAGAAATAATCATAATTATAACTATACATCCAGGAGAGGGAAGTGCTGACCATGATCAGTTCAATTATTTTGACTAGACCTGTGTAGGTAGTGATTATTTCAATAATGAAGATGAACACCAGTAATTGTCAAGACTTGCTGGCGTTTCTGTAGCCATACTCAGGCGGCTGGGATCATTATTCTAATCCTCTTTACACAGTTGTCTAACTTGGGTAAAGTTCAGAGAAATTGGCACATTTTATTTTGTTTTGTTTTCTTTTTGAGACAAGGTCTCACTATGCAGTTCAGGCTGGCCTTGAACTCATTTATGTAGCCCATGCTGGCCTCAAACTCCTGAGTGCTGGGATTACAGGCATGTGCCATTCCCCTGCTCAGTACATTTTAAAAAGCCTTTTTCTTTTTTTTTTTGAGACAGGGTCTTACTATGCAGTTCAGGCTGACCTTGAGCTCACTTTGTAGCCCTGGATGGCCTCAAACTCGCAACGATCCTCCTGCCTCAGCCTCCCGAGTGCTGGGATT